CATACTTCTCATGCCAAGTTTCTCTTCTGAAACACACTCACTTGCCTACAATTTTGAAATGGTTTTTGGAGGCATGAGCCTGGCCATTTCCCAACTTCAGCATTTGAATAAAGTTGCTTTTCTTTCACCACACCTTACTTCTTGAATTTCCAGTGGTGAGCAGCTGGACTTGAGCTCAGTTACATTTCTATTTCTGGCTCAGGCCTCTCTCCACATTCCTTCTCCACCTTCCTTCACTGACATCTCAAATTGAACATGCTTCAAACTGAATTCTTGATATTTCTCCCCAAAATCTGTTCTGTCCACAGTGTTCTCCGTTTAATTTATGAAAAATCATCCTTCCTGTTGTTCCAACCAAAAAATCTGAAACCACTGTTCAATCTTCTTTTTCTCAAATATTACATCAAATTAATCATGAAATCTTTTTGACTATTTTTTAAAAATACCCAAAACACACCACTTATCACCTCAGTTGCCACCAGCCTGATGTGAGTGGCCAGTATCAGTCTTGTCTACAATAGTTTTAACTGGTATATCTGACTATATTTCTGCAACCCTCCCTACTCTCATCACCATACCCCCATATTCTTGACACAGTAGCCAGGTTCCTGGATAAAAACATTTCATGTAGTAAAGTTGGCTGTATTAGCTTATTTTCACATTGCTGATAAAGACATACCTGAGGCTGCGCAATTTACAAAAAAAAAGACATTTAATAGACTTTCACTTCTACATGGCTAGGGAGGCCTCACAATCATGGCAGAAGGTGAAAGGCACTTCTTACATGGCAGCAGCAAGAGAAAGAATGAGAGCCAAGTGAAACGGGTTTCCTCCTATCAAACCGTCAGATCTCATGAGACATAATCACTACCAGGAGAACAGTATGGGAGAAACCTCCCACACAATTCAATTATCTCCCATGGTGTCCCTCCCATAATGTGTGAGAATTATGGGAGTACAATTCAAGATGTTATTTGAGTGGGGACACAGCCAGACCATATCATTCTGCCCCTGGCCCCTCCCAAATCTCAAGTCCTCACATTTCAAAACCATTCATGCCTTTCCAACAGCCCCCCAAAGTCTTAACTCATTTCAGCATTAGCTTAAAAGTCCACAGTCCAAAGTTTCATCTGAAACAAGGCAAGTCCCTTCTGCCTATGAGCCTGTAAAATCAAAAGCAAGTTAGTTACTTCCTAGATACAATGGGGATACAGGCATTAGGTAAATACAGCCATTCCAAATGGGAGAAATTGTCCAAAACAAAGGGGCTACAGGCCTCATGTAAGTCCAAAATCCAAAAGGACAGTCAAATCTAAAGCTCCAAAATGATCTCCTTTGACTCCATGTCTCACATCCAGATCACAATGATGCAAGAGGTGGGCTCGCATGGTCTTAGGCAGCTCTGCCTCTGTGGCTTTGCAGGGTATAGCCTCCCTCCTGGCTGCTTTCACAGGCTGGTGTTGTGTATCAGCGGCTTTTCCAGGCACATGATGCAAGCCGTCAGTGGATCTACCATTCTAAGGTCTAGAGGATGGTGGCCCTCTTCTCACAGCTCCACTAGGCAGTGCCCCAGTAGGGACTATATGTGGGGCTCCAACTCCACATTTTCCTTCTGTACTGCCATGGCACAGGTTCTCCATCAGAGCCCCGTCCCTGTGGCAAACTTCTGGCGGAACATCCAGGCATTTCCATATATCCTCTGAAATCTAGCCAGAGGTTTCCAGCTTTCAATTCTTGACATCTGTGCACCACCTGCAGGCTCAACTCCACAACGAAGTTGCCAAGGCTTGTTACTTGAACCCTCTGAAACCATGGCCCAAGCTATACCTTGGTCTGTTTTAGACATGGCTGGAGTGGCTGGGATGGAGGCATCAAGTCCCTGTACTGCACATAGCACAGGCCCTGGGCCAGGCCCAGAAAACCACTTTTACCTCTTATTTTCCAGGTCTGTGATGGGAAAGGCTGCCAGGAAGACCTCTAATATGCCCCAGAGACTTTTTCCCCATTGTATTGAGATTAACATTCACCTTCTTATTACTTATGCAAATTTCTACTCCGATTTCAATTTCTTCTCAAAAAATGGGATTTTCTTTTCTATCACATTGTCAGGCTACAAATTTTCCAAACTTTTATGCTCTACTTTCCTTATAAAACTGAATGCTTTTAACAGCATTTAAGTCACATATTGAATCCTTTGATGCTTAGAACTTTCTTCCACTACATACTCTAAATCATCTCTCTTAAGTTCAAAGTTCCAGAAAACTCTAGGGCAGGAGCGAAATGCTACCAGTCTCTTTGCTAAAACATAACAAGAGTTATCTTTGCTCCAGTTCCCAACAAGTTCCTTGCCTCCATCTGAGACGACCTCAGCCTGGACCTTATTGTTCATATCACTATGAGCATTTTTGGTCGAAGCCATTCAACAAGTCTCTAGGAAGTTCCAAACTTTCCTACATTTTCCTGTCTTTTTCTGAGCCCTCCAAACTGTTCCAACCTCTGTTACCCAGTTCCAACGCTGCTTTCATATTTTTGAGTATCTTTTCAGCAGCACCCCACTGTACTGGTACCAGTTTACTGTATTAGTCTGATGTTGCACTGTTGATGAAGACATACCTGAGATTGGGTAATTTACAAAACAAAGAGGTTTAATAGACTTAAAGTCTAGGCAGGTCTCACAATCATGGTGGAAAGCAAAAGGCACTTCTTTTGCAATGGTGGCAAGAGAAAGAATGAGGGCCAAGCAAAACAGGCTTCAGGTTTCCCATTATCAAACCATCAGATCATGAGACTTATTCATGACCAGGAGAATAGTAAGAGAGAAACCACTCTCATAATTCAATTATCTCCCACAGGGACCCTCCCACAACACATGGGAATTATGGGGATATAATACAAAATGAGATTTGGGTGGAGACATAGCCAAACCATATCAATGGCAATTCTTCGCAAAATCATCTATGAATTTAATGCAATTTGAATTAAAATTTCACATAGTTTATTTATGGAAAGCTCATCAAAAAAATTCATAGAAATATAAAATTCCCAAGAATAGCTGTGATAGTTAATATTAGATGTCAACTTGATTGGATTGAAGGATGCCTAGTTGGCTGGTAATGTATTGTTTTTGGCTACATCTGTTAGGATTTTGTCAGAAGAGACTGACATTTGAGTCAGTAGACTGGGAGAGGGAGACTAACCCTCACTGTGGTTGAGCACCGTCCAATCAACGGCTAGCACAGCTAGAACAAAGCAGACAGAAGGTGGGATACGCTGGCTTGCTGAGTCTTCTGGCTTTCATCTTTCTCCTATGCTGGCTACTTTCTTCTGTTCCTTCAGCCCTTGGACATCACACTCCAGGTTATTCTGCCTTTGAACTCCTTTGAACACCAGTGGTTTGCCAGGGGCTCTCAAGCTTTTGCCCACAGACTGAAGGCTGCCCTGTTGGTATCCCTGATTTCAAGGCTTTTGGACTCGGACTATGCCACTACCAGCTTCTTTCTTCCTCAGCTTACAGATAACCTAATGTAGGACTTCACCTTGAGATTATATTAGCCAATTCTCTTTCTTTTTTTTTTTAACCTGACTTATATAATTGAGGTCATCATTGCCACCTTCACATGCATACATGTTTACAAACAATTCATCAGTTTTATTTATTCCCATTTTTGAACTTTTGATACCTTCCATAAGCCAACATAATACTTAAAAAAAATACTGAAGCCATTAAAGGTGAGTTTACTTCCACATGGCTCCCATCTCTGCTTTAAAAACTCTTACACATTTATTACTGTCATGATTCAAGACTAAGTGCATTGACATCTTTAATCCCAACTCCATGAGATGCTCCATTACTTTGACCTGATACCACTGTGTTACGCTGTTTCTCCTTTTATTTCTTTGTCCATTCCTTTTGTTTTGCCTTCATGGGCATCTTTTCTTCCACTTGTTGATTAAACTACTAGTGTTCCACAGAGTTCTTTTGTCAGCCTACTACTCTTCACACTACCTGCTTCTGGTTCAGGTATAATTTACATACAGTAATGCCCAGATTCCCAGACCAGACCCCTTAGCAAGCTTCAGACATTTCCAACTGGATGTCCCACCGGTACCTCAGAAATCACATGTCCAAAATTGAACTCAACGTTCTTCTCTCAAAATGTTTTTCTTCTTTTTTAAATTTTTTTACTACACTTTAAGTTCTGGGGTATATGTGCAGAATGTGCAGGTTACTTGGGTATACACATGCCATGGTGGTTTGCTGCATCCGTGTGTGTGTGTGTGTGTGTATGTATATGTGTGTGTGTGTGTGTGTGTGTGTGTGTGTCTGTGTTTGTGTATCTCCCATCGGTTCCGTCCCTCTAGAGAACCCTGACTAATACAGATTGTAGCCAAGGAAATCTTGAAGAAAAAGAGAAACAGGAAGAGAAGGGGAGGACCAAGAGGCAGAGGAAAAGTCAGCAGGGAAATGCAGGAGTGTAGAAGAGGAAAAAAAAGAGGGAAAGGAATCATTCCAGAGGTCACAAGATATGCTATTCCCCAGTTATTCCTGCAGATAGCATCACTATTGCAGAACATAAAACTGGCTTTTGAGATATCTTTTCAGGTTTGTTGCATGCCTGACACATATGATGACTCTACCTGGACCCACCTGCTGCTCCTGAGGTACCACCCAGAAGGTATTAAGAGCACAGGAGAATCATTTCCCATACTCCTATGATTGTACCCTTCCAACCATTCTGCAACAAGAATCCACTGTCTAGCCATCCCCACCCCATTCCACAAACTACCTTTGAGAAAGGGGGGTGACATTCAGCCGGCCGTTCGGGGCGACGGACTTTCCATCCCGGAACCATGGCCCAATTTATCCATAACCTGTGGAGAAGACCCCGGCGCTGGTAAACAGTGTTCTGCTTCTTTAAAAGCCTCTTGTTACCAGGGAGCAGCTTTGACTTTTCACACCGGCTGCACATTTGGTACAAGCAGTGAATGAAGTTGCTGTGATTTATTCGAAGCCTCAGTTGGCCACATTTTGGTACTACGCCAAGGTTGAGCTGATTCCTCCCACCCCTGCTGAGATCCCTAGAACTATTCAGAGCCTGAAAGAAATAGTCAATAGTGCTCAGACTGGTAGCTTCAAACAACTCACAGTTAAGGAAGCTATGCTGAATGGTTTGGTAGCCACTGAGGTGTTGATGTGGTTTTATGTCGGAGAGATCATAGGCAAGCGTGGCATCATTGGCTATGATGTTTGAAGACCAATCTTTAACATCTGGTTATATTTATTATTTGAGTGTTGTTGGACCACGTATGATCAGACTGCTATCTGAATAAAATAAGGTGTGTTAAAAAAAAAAAAAAGCAAAAACTACAAGCCTTCAATGAGATTGATTTGAGTAATAACTCCATCACCCATGTGGTATAGCCACCCTTGTGTCTATTAAATTATTTCTTTGCTGCAGTGCTATGGTCTTTGTTTGTGCAGTGTGCAGCAAGAAACTGTTGGGCAGTTACATTATAAAGAACAGTAAAAAAGAAAAGTGTTTCTGTCAAAAATGACTTTCTAAAAGCTTAGGGGGAACCTCAAAAAGTCAAGTCCCTAAAACGTACTGTCAAATTGAACATAAATACAGAAAAGGAAAAACACACACATACATATACTGAGATTATTCTGCAATAATTTCTAAATGTTGTTCACATTTTCAGGAAATTTCTCACAGAAGTCAAACTGGATGCAAAAACACAGTGGCTTATGCAAAAGAAGATGACATAGGAAATTGATCAGTGTTGGCCCAATGCATGAAGTAACTTTGCATTCATAAATTAATGTCTTTATGCTATATTTTTATAATTCTTCATTTTAACTGTCTTTGGATTATCCAACCTCAAATTGTAACTGTACTGAGTAAAAGCATTGCACTTACATGCACAAGTATTTATTATACTATAGTCATAACAAGAAGAAGCAGCTGGAATCAAAATTAATGAAATACTTCCATAACAGTACAAAGGATCAGAGTTATATGCAGTATCAGGAAGAGATAACCAAAATAAATTGCAAATTAGAAAGCCCAAAAAATTTGTAAAATATTATATAGAATATGTCTCCAATTTTTTAACTGGAGAAAATGGTGTTCAAATATAGAAAGAACAAAAGATAATTAAATAGAATAAAAGACTAAAAAAAGAATCAAACTATAAATAGTGGTTTGTCTTTTATTTTTCTTTTCTTTTGATGTACTTTACTCTGTAAATAGAGCTGGAGTATTCCTTATCCAAAATATGTGGGAACAGAAATGTTTGGATTTTATATATTTTCAGGTTTTGGAATATTTACATTACATGTACTCATTGGTTGAACAAAAGCAAGGAATATTCACTCTGGACATTATGTTGAAGCTCAAAAAGTTTTGGATTTTGGAGCATTTCGGCTTCTCAGTTTTGGAATGTTAATCTAGTATATAATGTATGGAAAAAAATACTATTTGTTTTTAAATAAGCCACACCAGTTTATAATCCAAGTCGCCCTTTTTGGTTTTTCTAAAAATGCTTTATAGAACAGATATTGTATTTGTGTCAAACTAATGAAATATATTTCAAATAAATGATATTTTCTTTCTCTACCCTCTTTGCCTTTGGAGACTAATCCCAGAACATTAAGTTGTATGGCAGGGACTTAGACTTTAAACAACCTGTCAGTCATTTAAATTGCTGATTAATTTTGGCTTGGCACCACTTATCATCTTAGATCAGGTGCTTGATGAAATAATCAGTCATCTGTGCCTACTTTGAGAAATTAGCACGCATGTTTATTTGTCAAAATGTCAAAGTGAGTCTAATTTTTAAGTACTGACCTGTGCAGCATATGTCAACATTTCTCAAGATTAAGAGGATAATTCTTTCAAGGCAACAACCATGACTCTTACAGCAAGACCACCTTGTAAACTTTCCCCATACGTTTTTTACTAGAAGTTAAGTAGAGCTAGAGCTACAGACTGGGGAAATTAGCTCTTCAAAGATTTTATCAGTGCCTATATTGAAGCTAAACTTTTTTTCCTTTTTTGTTTAAAGAGAAACCATTGACTTTCATTTATGTAATAGACTTATTAAATTGAAAGCAAAGTCTAATCTAGGTGTTGGGAAAATAAGCCAGGAATTATTCCTATTGGAAGGGGTGCTGAGCAATTTAAAATGATACCAATTCAGTATTTATGCGTTAATATTTATTGAGACCACTATGTGTGTAAAATGTTATCTCTAAAATTACAAAGAAAGAATGACAGAAGTACCCAGAATTGGAAGTAACAAATTACAGTCAATCAATGTCAGACATCAAGGCATTATTACTTGAAAAGAATGATGTCCTTAACCCAAAAGAGTAGGATCTAAGGTTTCACACTTTTCTAATAGAAGACAGAATCTATGTTGATTGAATACATTCTTCTTTCTAAGAATAGTTCTATTATAAAACTTATATTTTTATTCAACTATATGCTTGTGGTAAACTAGAAAAGTTTACTATTCTCTTAATTTTGTTACTAATATATGTAGATAATATAAAAATGAAGCGAAACAGGAATCATTGTTAATAATCATTTGAAAATACAAAAATTAACTCCAGATGGATTAAAGATTTAAACATAAGACATAACACCATAAACACCTTAGAAGAAAATCTAGGCAATACCATCCAGGACATAGGCATGGGCAAGGACTTTGTGACTAAAACACCAAAAGCAATTGCAACAAAAGCCAAAAGAGAAAAATGGGATCTAATTAAAGTTAAGAACTTCTGCACGGCAAAAGAAACTACCATTAGAGCGAACCAGCATCCAACAAAATGGGAAAAAAATTTTGCAATCGACCCATCTGACAAAGGGCTAATATACAGAATCTACAAAAAACTTAAACAAATTTACAAGAAAAAAAAAACATAAAAAGGCGGTGAAGGATATGAACAGACACTTCTCAAAACAAGACATTTATGTAGCCAACAAAGATATGAAAAAAACCTCATCCTCACTGGTCATTAGAGAAATGCAAATCAGAACCACATTGAGATGGTAATCTCATGTCAGTTAGAATGGCAATCATTAAAAAATCAGGAGACAACAGATGCTAGAGAGGATGTGGAGAAATAGGAACACTTTTACACTGTTGGTGGGAATATAAATTATTTCAACCATTGTGGAAGACAGTGTGGTGATTCCTCAAGGATCTAAAACCAGAAATACCATTTGACCAAGCAATCCCATTACTGGAGATAGGCCCGAAGGGTTATAAATCATTTTATTATAAAGACACATGCACACATGTTTATTGTGGCACTGGCAACCCTGTTCACAACAGCAAAGACATGGAACCAACCCAAATGCCCATCAAGGGTAGACTGGATAAAGAAAATGTGGCACATATACACTATGGAATACTATGCAGCCATAAAAAGGATGAGTTCATGTCCTTTGCAGGGACATGGACACAGCTGGAAACTCTCTTTCTCAGCAAACTGACACAAGAGCAGAAACCAAACACCTCATGTTCTCACTCATAAGTGGGTATTGAACAGTGAGAACACATGGACACAGGGAAGGGAACATCACACACCAAGGCCTGTGAGGGGCTGTGGGGCTAGGGGAGGGATAGGAGGGGGTGAGGGGCTAGGGAAGGGATAGCATTAGGAGAAATACCTAATGTAGATGACAGGGTGATGAATGCAGTAAACCACCATGGCACATGTATACCTATGTAACAAACCTGCACATCCTGCACATGTACCCCAGAACTTAAAGTATAATAAAAAAAAATTATTATTTGAAAATAGATCAATATGCTTCTGTAGAGGAAATCAAAAAGAAATACACTTAAAATTATCACTCTCTTGATTAGGAAATATAATGTCAATACCAAAAATAAGAGGTAGCCGTTTTATAGTTTCTAACTTTTACACATTTTATAAGGAAGATAAACAGGAAAGAGTTGGCTAAGAATGAAGATAAAGAGTTATAAAGTGTCAGCAAGAAGTGAATAAAAAGAAGATTGATTCCATAAATAAATATTTATTAAGCATGTATTATGTTTCAGATACCTGAATTACCAGTGAATAAGAGGCATTTTCATGAAATTCACTAATGTAAGCATCGAAAATTACAAATATTCCTCTATGAGCTGTTTTAGTTATATCCCAAAATTTAATAGGTGTATTTTCATTATCATCTAGTTCAAATATTTTTAACTTTCCATGTAACTTATTACTTTACCCATGGATTATTTAGAAATAAGCTGTTTAATTTCCAAATATTTAGAAGTGATCAAAAAAGATATTTTGCATAATTTTAATCCTTATAAATTTATTGAGGTATTTGCATGGCTCATATGATGGTCTACCTTCATATACTGTATACCTTGAACTGCAATTGCTGAGTAAAAGAATTTAATGGTTAATTGATTGACGAGGGTGACGATAAACCAGAGAAATACATTTCTTTTCCCGGATGAGACTGCCACTCACAGAAGTAAAAAACATATCAACAAAAACCATGCAGAAGTAAGATTAGAAATGCGAGGTGTGGGTGTTAGTGAATTTATATGGACATAGACAAGCTTGCTAGAGAAGAGAAGGTAGTAAGCAGAGATCATAGATATCCTGGATCTGTTGAGAAACTCAAGTACCGATGGCCAGTGACAGTTCACTATATATTATAGATACATCATTCAGATGAGAGGTATCTTAAGATAGCAATATTATATAAAGAAAAGTCAAGTAGATCCAAACGTATGTCTAAAACAAAACAAAAAATAAAGCAAAGGACAAGGTTATGTTTTCTGGCTCAAATTTAAAATTTTTATTTTTACAATTTATATGACACTGAGCCATTATGGCATAATTTTTCGGATCTTCGTTAGTATTGGCATAGAATAGTAAACATCTAATGGAAAAGAGTCAATAGGTCAAGTAAATTCTAATAAATTTACATTGAAACTCAGACAATATCTGAATTTAAAAATGTACCTCCCGCCTTCACAAACACACACACACACACACACACACACACACACACACACACACATACACTTTAAGAAAAAATGGCCAATCTATTTAGCCAGAACATCATATTTCCAAAGGCTCTCCTTTCTAGAGGTAACAAAAAGTAGAATCCTCTAATGGAGAAAGTCTTTACTCTCAGAAGGAACAAATAGGGGACGCTGTGATGGAAGATGTCCACTTAGCC